CTACCGCACTATGTCTACCACAATGGCAAATTTACTCCTTTCAAAATTTATAATTAAAACAAATAGGAAATAATACTGTTTTTTACTTTACATCGAAAGTACATAATTTTGGCTAATATTTGGCATGCACCAGCGATGTCGAATGCATGTTAATAGTGAATAGCGTAGTGCGCCGCCCCGCAATATGGTGTTTTGGCACAATCCGCGAATTTGTATTTTGTCACTGTGCTAATTCAACCAAAATCATGGGACAAGCTTGTACATGCGCTGATTTATGTGTTACCATTGTCGCACTACAATAGTACAGACAGACAGAGTCGTCTTCAAAATAAATAACGTACATAATTATTAGTATTAAATATTAATGATAAACATGAATTGTAAACCTGCACGCAGATGCTCTAGCAGTCTGACACTGGACTAACTGTTTCATTCGTTATTTTTGCTGATTTTCGTAATTATAGTGCATTGGTAGTTTGATACATAGTACGCACTCAATTTCACTGCCCTTTTGTGGCAAGTAGCGTACTTAATATGCAAATGATGTTATGTGTATTATTTACTGCGTAATGTTGTTTCTTATATAAATATTATATATTGTATTACATATACTTCTGTAGTAAATAATGTAAGTGAATGCGAGCTGTGCAAATTCAGCAAGGAATTTTATTGATGAAAACCCATTTTATCGCGACGCAGACAACAACGGCAACGAAACAAAACCCACACAGAAAAAGCTGCAGTCAAGCGCTTCAGATGTTGAAGGTAGTTAGAAAACCTAGCAAATCGACAATCTTTGCATTGAAATGAAATGAGGAAATAGAAAAAAGCAATAGAAAAAATAGCAAAAAATAGGAAAAAGTACAGACGCCAACAGAGAACGATGGATAGGCAGGCGCGCGGCGGTGGGCAGACAGGAAGACGGACGGCGGTAGGGCAGACAAGAAGACGGGCGGCGATGGCAGGCGGGCAGCCGACAGTCTTATATGAACAAGCGCCGGCAAGCCCGCTTGAGGATACGCTTCTTGCACAAGGGGCAGTCTTTGCCATACTGCGGGACAATGCAGTCGTTGCAGAAGACGTGCCCGCACGTTCCGGTGACAAAATGTCCGCCTGGGCGTGAAAGGACCTCTTCCATGAGGTCCCAACAGACGGGGCACTTGGGGCGGCTGGTGTGCCGGAGGCAGCGCTTGCGGTGATGGCGGAGGCAGCGCTTGCGGCGTTGGCGGAGGCAGCGCTTGCGGCGGTGGCGGAGGCAGCGGCTGCGGTGGTGGGGGTTGCAACGGAGACAACGGCTGCGGCAACGGCGCTGCGCGGTATAGGGCCGGGGACGCGGAGCTAGACGGCAATGGTGCTACGCGATACAGGTGCGGGGCTGCCGGTGATCGGGACGATGGCGATGCTGCTGGGCCCCATGACGGCCCGGGAACGGGGCTTTGCCACACGTGCGAGGGCCCCGGTACTGGGCTGTTCGGCGGCCGGGGATCCGGGGAGGATGGAACAGCCTCCACGGCAGCTGGGCGTGGCCTGAGTTTCGGAGGCGAGAACTCCGGAGAGCCTGGCGGTGAAGGTGACATCCATTCCATCAACCACGACAACGGGGTGAAATCCGCGAAGGCTTCCCGAAAGGGCGAAGGAGCCCGGGATTCACTAACGGGTGTCTGGTACCCGTAACAGAGGAAAGGATCGTCCGGTGGTGAAATCACATCGATGATTTCCACGGACGGGGCCGGGGATGGAGGTTCTTCGGGAGGGGGCGAAACTGACATTTCGGCGCCATCATCCCAAACTGCCGGCTGGGGGGCATCCGACGGATCTGCCGGTACGGGGGCCAACGACGGATCATCGAACGGAATGTCGTCAGTCGGAGGCGGATCTGCGAACGGAACGGCATCAGTTGGAGGCGAGTCCGGGGGCGCGAACGGGTTTGATGCCCGCGGCCGGCGGTGTGGCGTCCGGAGGACAAGCCGCCGGATCCGGCGGGGGCGATGTCCCTCCAGATCTCCATCTCCAGTACGACTGAACAGCCCTCGAAAGGTACTCGACAGTACCCGATGGAAAGTGCGCTTCTTAACCCGGCGTCCAAGGCGCTCCCGCACACGGGAGAGCGCTTCCCTGCGGGAAACGTAACCCGTGGGCGGGCGGCTGTCTTCGATGCGGAATAAATACAGCATGGCTGCACATAGCCTTGCAACAAGAGCTGACGATGCCATGGCGGCAAAATTTTTTCAAAAAATGAGAAAAATCGTAAAAATTAATTCCGTGCAGAAGCTTTTATAGATCCATATGAACGGGTGTAAAATGTGGATGGGCTAACGATGACCCTTATTGGACAGTTTTCGTCTGCACTTGGCAGCCATGCCTGTGCTGTGCCTAGGCGCAGGGAACTGTATTTATTCCCGCAACAGCTAACGTGGGCGGGGCACAATGTGGGAGTGCGAGCTTATTGGTAGGTTGCGTTGACATAAACGCAATGAAGATCTGTACAATCTGGTGATATAATGGATACAGTTAGAATTGTGTTGTCATGCACGCCCACTGTCCGAAATCTAAGCAAAAGACACGTTTAATCGGGGAAGGGCCTAATATTATTGTGTATACTGAACTTGAATTGCACTCAGAGAAGAGTAAAAATAGTAATAAAATATGTGTTAGATAGTTTTTAGGTAAAATATATATATATAAGTTACATAAAATATGTAGAATACATTTTAATCTAAAGAATCTGTCCGTTGCAAAGACAGAACGCGTATCAGATAACTAAAAAGCATGGGAAGAACACGCCCGTAGGCATTCCCGATGACATCATACAAATGACATCATACTCGCGCACTCGCTTATCTCGGGGAAGAGCATAATATTAAAACGTACACAACATTTGTACTGCACTCAGAGCAAAGCAGTAATAAAACATAAGTTAGATAGTTTTTTAGGTAAAATATATATAAATTACATAAAATATGTAAAATAGATTTTATTACGTTTGCGCTGCTCCTCTTCTGCCAACCGGACACAGTACAAGGGAATCTTGATAAGAAAATTAAGAAACCATAATATGAGAGCAGTTTCGGTATAAGTGTAAAAAAGAATCAGAGTCAGCCATTAAAATCGCGGTACATCAAAGCACCATTACAAAATGTTTAACCGTAAACACATGGTGCGGTGCAAGTACCGTCAGGTTGGTGGTTTACGAAGGCGATGAAAACTGCAAAGGATGAAGACGATGAAAACTATAATCTCCGTACAGTACAATTATCACTACTTGCACTAGTGGACGGCGACTGGACGCTAGTGGAGAAACATCGCAATACTGCGGCATCTTTGCGCCATTTAGTTATACCAGTCTTGACAGTCTATGGTCGTCCACTGGTCAGCGAGATCTTTACGGTCGGAAAGCTCGCTGAGCTAAAGCACTCGTCGGAATATACAGCGTGGTAGCGCCAAGTTGAAGACACTTAATCAATATTTTATTGCAATTAAGCTAATTACAATTTTGTTTCCAAATATGCTCGTACTGATAGCCGTTAGCTTTGATTACACAACGAATACGAGATTTCCACGATCTGAGCGCATTTCGAATTTTAACAATTGAAAAAGTCTTCCACTTGCGGCGCGCGACACGTGCCAGTTGCCTGTGATCGCGCGCGTCACAGCACTTCAAAATTCGTTTAAAAATCGAGTTGACCGCGTAATCCATCGGTGCAGCATCTGGTGAATTCGCCAACCATTCTTCTTTAGGAATGTACTTAACTTTCTCAGCTTTCAGCCACTGGACAGTTTCTTTGGCCACATGGGAAGGGGCACTGTCCATGTGCAGGACCACTTTCTTGGCGTCGGATCCGTATAGCCGCGGTACGTCTTTGCGGATCATTGGCTTCAGGACTAGGTCGATAAATACCTTGTGATCAACTTTGGTTTCCGGGGGAACGACGTACATTGCGGTTTGACCGCGCCAAGAGATCCCCATCGCGAGCATCACTTTTTTGGGCCAGTTTTTGCGTGGCAGCTTTTGCCAACTTTCAGGAACGACAACATTTTTCCGCTTGTAGTAGAAGTCTGTCTGCCCGGATAAATCATCAGTAGTAATCCACATCTCGTCCATTGTTAAAAGAAACTTCAGTTTTCGTCGCGATAAATACCTCAAAAACGTCTTGGCGCGATGGGCACGTTGTACAGCTTGGGTCGCCGATAGCGCGTGGACCTTCTTCTTTTTCGTCAACTTCGCTTCCAGATTCTTGACCAAAATTTTTTTCACGGATACATGAGAGATTCGTAAACGTCGGGCGATCTCTCGAATAGACGGGGGATTCGGAGAATCTATTAATTTTTCCACTCTGTGGATGTTCTTCGGAATGCATACTGTAGGCTTGTTCTGCGCAGGCAATTTACGCGTCTCCGGTGGGCTTCCACTCAACACCAACTGATGTTTCTTAATAATCCGTTCAACTGTACTCTTACTAAGCGGTCTCCCAAGCTCAGATAATTTTTCCACAATTTTCCGAATAGACAATCCACTGGCATGTAGAGAAACTACTACAGCCTTACTTTCAGAATTAGTTTCTGGAGGCATTTCTCAACATTTCAACGAAAGCTAAATTTTATTGCACTGGAAATGAAATTCGCTGCAAATTTGCAAGTGGCAGTATGACAGCAGACTACAGGGAAATAATCAGATCAATTTTAATTGCGCTGTCTTCAACTTGGCGCTACCACGCTGTATTGGTATCGCCGTAAGCGAGGGTACGAACTCAGCTCTGAACCAGACCCTAGTCTCAGCGCCATGACCAATCGTACCATGCCCACAGTCTACAACTCTGCACGTTACCACGTGTTGCGTACTTCTTGCAGAGTTACGACTGAAGTCACTAAAAAGTTGGCAGAACATTTTGGCGTTGGACTGAATTTTCGGGTGTCAGTATTGCAGTTTTTCTGGACATTGTTTGGATTTATAATTTAACCGGACACTGTCAGTCTGTCGCCACTGAATATTCTGACTTCAGCTTAACTGGCGTTGTGCGGATCGTTGGAAAAAAGCATCCAATATGGCATCGTCATGCAGCCTTTCCCCCGGCAGCGGCGTGCCTGTCCTGTTCCAAGAACTCACCACCAACGTTGCCGTTCTTTATGACTGCGTAAAAGCAATCGATGGTACGTTAGCAGTATATTCTTGCAATCCTATAGAGTCACTGTCTGACCTGTCCTCGTTTCGATTTGTTTTGGTTGAATCCTCATTCGTGCAACACTGCTTACTGACTACGTTGCAGACTACTCGGACCATAAGAAAGTGAAAATTGCTTCGACTAAATCGTTCGTGGTAGAAATGTCCGCCTGCCTTGAAGCATTTCAAGATGCCATAAATGCTGGCACCACTGGAACGCTGCGAATTCCTCCCGATATGGAGGAGCTCGTCACACAGACCGCAGCCGACCAAGAGCGTCACTTTGCTGATATCCGCCAGCGAGCGCAGCACGGTAAGTACGCCGATAATTTTCATATGAAGCCTGCATAGTGCATAGCCCGGGTCCGCTGGTTCCCTTGTTTACACGTTAAGCGCGAGTACTTAAACAGAGCATCGTCAGATGCTGCCTGTGCCGCGAGTACTCCGTTCTAGCTCTTTGGATATTACATTTTATCTTTTTTAGAATTCACTGGCGCGACACAGCAGATCTCCATGTGGAAGAGCAAGGCAGCAGGAGCATCCAGCGCTGCCATGGGGGCAGCTGATTCGCTGGGTGCTCTCAGCGTGCCAGTGCCCGAAGATCTGCGTTTTGCCATTGTGGGACTGCACGAACAACTCAAGGGATATGCAGGTAAAATAAACAAAATCAGCGTACGCGTCCATATTTGTCTGCAATGTCGGAGTGAAGTACTCTGTACGTGGTTGAAAATCGGTTGACGCTGAACCGTCTGGACCAGTGCCCATGTGCTCTCGGAATTTCTGACTGACGGGAGTCGTGAAGTGGCAAGTTCGAGACGTCGACTAATTTTTTTGTGGTCGAAGGACCGATAGAATTGTTGTTTAGTATTTAGTACAGCATTTTAAATTGAACTAGCCGTATTTGTTGATCACATCATTGCACGAGCGCGCCAGCGACAGTCCGCTGGAAGATGTTTCGCATTTCCAATGGGAAAGTGGGGAAATAATGTGAGTACGGTAAATTTATTCGCAAACTGTAAAACCGTTCGCAAGCCGACGCCGAACTGAACTTTATCCGCGCTCAAAAATTTCAGATTCACCTCCCAAAGTTCATTGACTGTTATCAATCAGTTACAGTTTGTTTAAGTTTTGATGGTTAAACACTTAGAGTTTCCAGCCCACGTGTACTTTTACTTTCGTAAAATCTATCTGTTGCAGCACCCTCCGCTTCGCGTTCAGTGCAAATTACAGCTACAGCTTACAATTAATACTGTTGGATTACAGCGTAGGCCATAGGAGGGTGCCTGTCAATAATGATTAAACATAACTGAATTATCTTTTCAAAGGATTGTTGAACGGCTAGTGTATTTAACTGGAAGAGATGCGACAAAACACTCAAAAATTACGCTGTCACCGTTTACTGAGCGGTAATCGCGCGGTGCTGCCTGTTCTCTCAGTTTCAGCTGCGCGACCGTATCGGTTTCAGCGTCACTCGATCTTCGTCATTTCATGGGCCATTGTATAATGTTCACTTACGATTCTTCATGCAAAATATACAGATAAAGCCAGAAGCCAGGAAGAGGATTTTCTCAGCACTGAACTGAAGAAAGCGGATCTGGTCATGGCATACGTCAACTTGGTAAGCAAAAATTTTATTTCGTGGTACTGTAGAACGGGCCTTCCATGATACTAACCCTAATTGGGATTTGCCAGGTGAAATCATTCCAAGCTGATAATTAAGAAGTGAATGAAGCGCGGTAGTCGATTAGATCGGACACGGAACTGCAACGCTTGTGCTCCATATTCTGGTTGTTTTTATGTAACAAAGGGTACTGGCCCGCAAGTCCTTAATGGGGCGTCAATAATTATTACTGCTTTTTTGCTTCGTTTTTCCATAGGCGATTGTACTTTGACTTTTGTTTCTTCGACTTTCCTTATTGCTGTACGAGTACCCCATAAGTATGTTATTGCAGTTTTGTTTTGTTAGACTCAGTGAGTCTAACAAAACTTGTTGACAAGCATAAAACTGTCCGATTGCCCTTCTAATAGTAGTCCTTTTACAATAAATAAAAATAGTTACAAAGATCGCAGTTGAGTAGACACGGTAGCGGACGGCCAGGGGTTGACGCTTCCCATTTTCCATTGTTGCGAGCCAGTTTGTTGTCCATACGGATTGCGGACCGTACCGACATTGTGATGATTTCTGTGCAGTACAGTTATCACCACTTCAGGTACAGCGATGAAGAAGCACCACAATACTGCGCCATCTTTGCGCCCTCTAAATAATAAATCCAGTTTAATGTCTTCCACCTCCAGTCGGATTCGACCAGGTATTTAAGTCGTTTGCAATAATACATTAGGGTGATTGCCTAATTAAAATGGGCGAAAGGATGAACTACAGAAAACAATTGTAACTCAACCATTAATAGTCAGCATAGCAAATGCGTCAGTGTTCTTCAAACTACAGTAAAAGGCATAGGTACATAAAATCCCCCAGTTACTTACGTACGTCCTAAGCCGGTGTACATTTCGACGAGTCATTCAGTTCAGCGACAGTTCTTTTATTATAACTCACTTACAGTATTATGCGATTACATAATATATTCGTACATTATCGGGACTCACGAACTCAAGAAAAACTAACTTTCAGTCTCCTGAACAGCAGCACATTTTTACCATGGGAATATACGAATTAAAAATAGTACAGTAGGTTATTGAAATTGATATGGAACAACGAAGTGCTTATGGGTAAACATTAGGCAATGTAGTACCGTAGTTGAATGGTAAAAATGTGACAGGCAAAAATGTCACCTCCGTCAAAAGTTTTCCCTAGGCGTTTTTGACGTGCTCCACATCCGAAAGGCAGCCCCTTGACCCTACTCATAGACATGACGAATCTAAACGGAAAAGCTGATTTCAGGTCAATCTAGCATCTTTCAGTAACCGCCACCAGCGTTTCCAAGACGTAATCAAATGCAGAAACTTCAGCAAATTTGCCAAAGTGGTGACATTACTGCTGCAGTGACGAATTGGATGTCCGAAGTGATGGACTTTACTGCCTGAGTGATAATCCTGGATCAGGTATCAGATAAGGGCCCATTATCGCCGGAATGAACCAGCTGTGAGATACAGTAGACATAATTTCTTGTGAGTAGTGAGCATAAAGTAAAAAGTAACTGCAACGTTTAGCGCAATGCTTTCACTGTTCACGAATGTCCTTGGTCACGATTGTGTACGGCAGGATTAGCTGGCCACATCAACTTTATGATGGTGTCCGACGATGGAAACACAAATGGTTCAGCCGGTTTAACCGCTCCCCGGTACCATACTTTCAGAACAAGGGCGTGTTGACGCCGTCCATTCATAACACACAGATATCCGGTAGCAGAATTGACCGCTTCCATCAGTACAAACGGCACCAGAATCTTGCTCTGGGTTTCCAACACGAACATGTAATGGAAAGTGTCCAATGTACAATAGCAAATACTCAAGGATATGGCAATGGTAGCCACAAGAACTGACACTGCCATATGGATTTTAGCAGTTGCCCACACGAATGCGCTGCGGTGTTCCAAATCTGCGGTGAAGGCGCACAGGTTAGTGGGTCCCAGAACTGTCTGACGGAAATTCCTGATGTGTAGCAGAATTCTTGTGGCGATAATTGCGTTCAGGATAGGCTGTATGCTAATAGCGAAGTACGGAATGATGCCAAAAAGCGTTAAGGCGACTTCCTCGAGCTGTAAAAGCCCATATTTAATAATGGTTACAGATTTACTTATATGTATACGGTATAACCTACTGTATGTTACATACTTACATTAACCCGGCAACGTCTGCTAGGTGGAAAAACCACCAGTAAAGTTCGCCAATTTTTACAACGCCAGAACTATTGTCATTACCTGGGCTACGTATGCATGAGATAGAACAAAGATAACTCTCTTCACAGTGAATTTTAGTTTTTTAATCAGACACACCATAAAAAACGTAGATTGCTTAAAAAACACTGAAAAAATAACGTTAAGTTCTACGAAGTGTATCTAAATCGGCTTTTGTGATAAAAATTTGGGATTAAATTAGTGATAACTTCATGTGAGTATCTCAAAATTTCAGTATCAAACAAAAGTCTGCAGCTCTTCTGTAAAAAACTGTGAATTTTCAAAAACAGCTGGTGGAAATTCCACCGCTTGGGCATTGGCGTGGGACAGTAGCATGCTGCCTGAACAGGCACAGTGACCAGAGCCGCACACTTCATATGATTCAGCCGTTGCACACTAACAGAGTAGCCAAACCAGGACACTGTCATCTAACGGATCAAAATATCAAACAAATAAAGAGATCTGAGTGCTTTTATAATAGCATAAATGGTAATAAAACATTTTTCTTATCATATCACAATTTTTTCTTCGACTGCAATAGGTAAGAGAACAATCAAACGACGTTGTGATCGAAGCAGCCAACCATAAATATGGCTGGCTGTGATCAGTGTTGTGCACATGTAAACTGGCGCAGCCCACCATGACCCTGTTGCATGCTGACCGGAAATGACACATTCTTTTGATTATAAATCCAACCATGAATCTTTTCATGATGAATTAAATTGCATAAGCTAACTATTGTAAACAGCTACCACAGCCAGGTTGATTCGAGTAGGTCAAGTAGCCACAATGTTGTGTACAAAGGAATTTGTGTGGTGTCGCACCGGCAACCACCTTGCCCACACCGTACGTATTGTATGTCGTGAATGCCCAAGCGGTGGAATTTCCACCTACCCTTCAAATTGTAAACTACTGCAGCAAAAATTTTGAAAAAATTAGTTTAAGTTCATTATATTATTGTTATTCTATGGTATGAATTTCAACTTCGACAAAAAATTCCTTGATACCTCGGGCATTGCCGGGTTAAAACATTTTACTCGGTACAAAACACCACACTCTTGTTTCTGTAGAATCAAGGTAGCATTTGTTTTCTCGCTCTCCCACACGCTGTTTCCTGGTGCTTTACGAGATTCTGTACCCACTACCCGGTTATCGTAGTCATAAAATACAGATCACTCAATATGACTCCCACCGTAATAACTAATAAGCCCCTCCCTCGCCCCCTTTACAAAATAAGGCAGCCCTGGAATTACAGCCCAGGGCACTGAGGGCAGTAATAAGTGGCATTCAGCAAAACGATAGTACTGAAGCGCATATGCAGTTTTCTACAAAACATGCAAACCATTCAGTAAACGGACATTTGAGGCTGCTGTTCGGCAGACGACCGTACACACGCTTACAAAATGCAGCACATAAATTGGGCAATATAGTACCGTTATATTTAACTGACATTCAGTTTCATCAGGGGATAACGAAACTTTCGGTGCGCCGGTTTGCATTTAAACTGTTTGTGGTGTTGTTTCAGCGCTTATGCTTAAACTACAGTACTTGCTTTTAATTTCACCCTGAGCTTCTAAAAGCGATTTTAAGCGAATGTTGCTTCACATCTAGATTTCATGCCAATTTATCATACAGCAAATCATTTTGGTTACCGAATTCCACAACGCAAAGCAAAACCGTGTTTGGGAGTGCGCAAATGCTTAGCTTCCGTAATCTTAAACGAATCACTTTCCTTAACGTACAAGTTACACGCTAATTTCCATGATCTTTGCCGTATCAGCGTTCTCAGCTGATGACTACAAATAGTTAAAGAACGACAATTTTTCAAACGAATCCTTTAATTGAATCTTACCATGTAGAATTTAAGGTTGGCCTTGCTGCGCACAATGTTTAGCGAGAACAACACAACCCCGAAGCGGAGCACACTTAGCACAGCGATGACAGTAGTGAAACAGACGGCTTTGACCGCATAAATCCAGATGTCTTGAGTAATAATATCGTGCCCGTTCTTCCCGTGGTCAAAATGACGTGCACTGCATGGAAACATACCCGCTTGTTTCCATGGCTTTTTTGACTGGTTTGCATACATTCCGGAATGATCGCTGGCCATTTTCTTGCTATACTACGTCACATTGATGAATACCCTCCGATAAGTCAGAGAAGCATTTAACGCGCTATTTTTTAACTAAATTTCTCCACTGGTTAATACCAGAATTATATAAATTAGTATGTACAGGATGCTTTTGTAACATTATAAGAGTATTATCCTTCTATCTGTACCTACATACTGGTTGCAATGCGTTGACTTTGTGTTTACGTATTGTTTCTGTAGCAGCAGCTGTATGGGAAAAATCAATATTTCCCACTTTCCAGCACTCAACATCGCCATGCAGCCCTGTTATACGCTTGGCTGTCGTGTGTGCTGAACCACTGCCGCTCTCCTGTAGTGGAAGTTGTAGTGTATACGGACGTATACGATGCCCGATGTTGTTATGTTACTTGTGAATGCTGTTATCTGACTTTGTCCAATGGCTAGTTGTGCCGTAGCAACTGGGATATGGGAATTCCAAGTTATGGGAATTTACTGGGTTCTGCTTAGTAAGTCAGCAAGCTCGTAAAATAAAACTTATCGCCGCCGAATACATGGCACCAGGTATTTAATCTATAGTGGGCATTTATCATGTAGTTAATACACCAATGTCTACTGTAGGAGGGCAGAATATTATTAACGTAAAGACAAAATTATGAAAGCAAAGAAAAGGGCATGCGCAGTGCATGGTGTACTGTCCTACATGTAACATGAAGTATACTGCAGCTGAATACAGATAGAATGAAAAAATGTTTAGAAATGGATAATCTAAACATATTGATTCCTAGCCACAACATTTTTTACGGTTTTGTTCATCAAATTTCGCAATGGCGATGCGAGCCAACCAAAGGAGCTCAATGATGTCTACGATCCGCGATGGAGGATTGTACGGTTCCGGCGATTGGAACTTTTCTTTATGCCATGTCTTGAGAATCAGGGTGTACTGACGCCACCCGTTTACAGTGTTCAGGTATCCCGTAACGAAATTGACCGCTTCCGTTAGCAGAAACGGTACCAGAATTCTGCTCTGGGCTTCCAACACAAACGTGTACTGCGAAGCGTCCAGTGTACTATAGCAAATATGCAGAACTACCGCAGCAATGACTACGAGAACCGGCACACTCCTATCCAGCACAAAAGCATTCGCCCACACACATCCGCTCTTCCGTGACGAACGTGAGGGAGAAATAGTGAAAACACGCAGGGTAATGGGCGCAGATGCGGTTTGACGGAAATTTTTTAGACGTACCAGAGTTAACGCAGCGAATATCACGTTCAGTATGGGATATGCGCTGACAGCAAAATAAAAACTGACTCCCAGGAAAACGAAAACGTTTTTTCCCATCTGCAAAAAAAATCTTACGTAAAAATTTCTTTTAATCATCCAGACTTTACAGAACCCAAGTATTTGACTACGAATATGCAGTTTTATGAATACCAATAATTTTGACGAACCGTACCAGATTGAACTCCAGACTGGCCTTGCTACGCACACTGTACAGAGCAAACAGCAGTACCATGAAGCGGAGTGCACTGAGTACAGCGACAACAGTTGTGAGGTAAACCGCTTTGACAGCACAGTTCCAGATTTCCTGGGTGATGACATAGTGATAGTTCTTCGCGTGCTCAAATCCCTGTGCGCTGTACGTATACAGATCTGCGTGTTTCCGTTGCTCTGGCTTGTCCCCATGAATTTCAGGTTGGCTGTTAGCCATTTTCTTATCATAACAGATTCCGATTGCACATATGCAAATAAACACCGACGCGTAAAATCGAAAGTTTAAAAACTTTTTATAGAAACATCTTTTATTAAAACTAGGGCACAGCAATACAGCCACAGAAGTGATTTGTTCTATTAATTTCTATGTATACGCCTTATGCTACTTTTGCTTCTGAAACAACTGGTTGCAATACATCGATTCAATTTTCTGTATCACCATCCAGCATTCAGCAGTGTAAAGGAAAAATCAGTATTCCCTCGCTACCCGCATCCAGCGTCGTAATGCGCCGTATGTACATCTTTCCGGGGGTGTCCGGTGTACTGCACGTTGTCCAACAGCGTTCAGATTGTACAAGCCCATCCAACAATTCTTTGACCGCTGTAAGCGCAGCGCATATAAATCGCGCACAGTAATGCAATTACGCATCGTAGTGTAGTGGCAGATATATTTATAAATATTCAACCAACAATAATATATTAGATCACAATTAATCACCGATAAAGCATCATCACAGTTAAAATTATCAGGTTAATCAACAAAACCAAACAGATCGCAGTTAGAATTATCATAGTTAAATTACCAGTAACTACAAAAGAAACAGATCAGTTTATGAACTACCATTCATGAAACAAAATATGGAACAAAATATCAGTACTCAATTCGAGCGCCACCTGCGTGGAAGACCTTCTCATATCGCACTGGATAAGATTTGTAAAGATTCTGGCAGATTTGTTGCTTATTTACGTTGAATACGCAGACTCATGTGGCGTGATGTGTCGAAGCACATTAAATGGCTCAAGCCCACGTTTCTTTAAATTCCCGCTTACAGCGGTCAAAGAATTGTTGGATGGGCTTGTATCTGTGTACGTGGTATTCATGATCATGCATACATACTATAACCACAGCCCAGTAACAGAGCCCTCCGACTCTCCATATGTGCCATTGCATGCTAGATTTGATGAGCACCGGCAATCTTAATGAGTGAGCAAACAAAGTGCCCCGATTTTGCAACAGCGATTTGTGCAGATGTGAACCGATCTGACAGCAGTTTGTGCGAGATCTGACAATCCTCGCACAAACCGAGGTAGTTTCAGTAGAATCCTACACTGATTATTTGTAGCAAACCGGAGACAGTTATCTGGTACAGTGAATACTGCCATTCTGGGATTGGCAGTTTTTGATCAGAGGCTGAACGTTCAATAATTTAAACGTTAATGCGAAATCGTTGATGTAATTGTGTATACGGCGTACAATCGTTATTCGCAACATGCTAAACCTTGTATTGTACTCAAACGTTTTAGCGTGTGGGATGCAAATGTTCGCCTGCTGACTGGTACAGAAATAATCCATTTTACTTTTGGCCAGACCGTATGTACTGCCTTTTTTGCTGGATGGATCAATTGTCATTTACAGTACCCATCTGAAACTGTAATGCAAGTACAGTTAATGCCATATTTGTACGGACAAGTTTCATGAGATTGTCAGCTTCTGCAATCTGCAATCTGCAGGTTCAGTAAATATTTGAAAGCAGCAGGTGGCAAACAGCAAATACCGGCTTTGATAAAAGATGTTGTAGGAAGTAATACTCACCGTAATAGTTCTACTTAACTCCTACCCTACTCTAGGGTAGAATTAGAATATATGCACATATATATCGGAAAAGTTTGGAAATAATGCGTGGGGATGCCATGAGTGTGTTTTAACTCGCTTTTAAGTACGGTCCCTTCTCGCGCCAACTGGGACAAATTTTTCATTTGAACGTAATAATTTTTAGTGAGCGATGGTCGTCTCTCTGAAAACTGAATAATAAACATATTAGTACATAGAAAAAGCAGCATATCGTGATGCTCACATGCATCCGTCCATCTACAGTACATAAAATCAATGCGGCACCGTACAAATGCAACTGCATTCTGGGCGCCACAACCCGCAAAATTGGGTTGAAGAACAGTCAGTGAGCTAAGTATCCACATATACAATTACAGTGAGCACACCATTCACGCTGAAGTGTTACGAATAACGGCAGTATGCAACACCATTCGTGCATGCGCACCTCCTGTGCATCGGATGCGCTGATGTCGTTGTTCAGCAGTTCTTCGGCGGTGACGTTAAGTAGCGCTGCTGAGACTGAAAACTGCTGCCGATCCATTCAAAACCGCTATTGTGCCGCTCGCACAGAATATCATTCTCATCAGAGTGACCTTTACCGAAACATCAGTTTTAGCTCAAAAAACTTACCGCCGGAACAAACTTTATCAGAAAGGGCGTAAAAAGTACTACTGAAATCGCCGGAATCTAATTAATAACTTTTGCATAAGCAAGAAAATGTTGAGTTAGCGAAACAAATAATAAACTGTCGCATACCATAGCTAAAACCTCAGACATCTCCGATTTGAAATATTTTGAAAAAACTGTCTTGTTGTGCGTGGGAGATTTGAGATGTTGGCGACAATTGTCTGGTGGTAGAACACCAGTGCAGAGAGGCGTTGTAATGTCAAGCGGTTTCTTTGCCGTCATTTTCTCCATCGAACGTTGGTATTCATTGACAAACCTGAATTCCTGGGCCATCGGTTTTCTTGTAACGCAGAGTCGCAAACAGATCTTGGCAGTTTGTATTCAGCCTAGAGTATTGACATAATACACGCACCGCGTGTAGTATCCAACCTACCGCAGTCAGCAGAGAAGGAACTTTGGAGATTGGTTTTGTCCTGATGCCTCCTTCCGTAGATAACAGTGCACAATACACTGAATCTCGCTCACACACTGCACAAACATCAACAGGACGGGATCACCATGATATTACTCACTTTAATCACATTGTTGTTCATTCACATGAAGTCACACACAGACTGCCGAATGCTAGCCGATGACGAAGCGCAGCTTCTGGGAAGCACCATTTGCGCATGAACACTTGCTGTGGATCCAAAGCGGCGATGTCGTTGTTCAGCTGCCCTTCGGCGGTGGCCTCAAGTAGCGCCGCCGACGGCTGATAATCGTTGCCGTTCCACTCGACAGTTATTGTGCCTCCAGAAAAAGAGATCCGACCGTTCTCGTCAGGTTGACCTTTATTGAAGCTTTTGTTTAGTAACCTCGTGAAAAGTAACGCTGTACAATACCTACCAATAACTTTCCGGTAACAACTGTAAAAATGCAAAAGTTCAATGATTTATTCATAAAAAGATACAATTAGCGTCTCACGTAGTCTCGAATTCCCATGGTGCTCTGGTCGCTCTTATTCCCCACAAAACGAATGTTCTGGACGATCTGTTTTCATATAACGCAGAGTCACAGAGAGCCTTTGCATTCAGCCTGTTGTCAGGGGAAACTAAACGGCAGCCTGTGTGATGCAAAAATGCAAACTTGTGCCGTTAACCGTGGCTGGAATCCGCTAGTGTGCTCGAATGTGCGTACCGGATGCCGTCGTGACCACATGGATCGTTACCTGATCTTGCTTTCTAAAT